CATCTTCAATTTCTTTCATCAATGTCTTGAAGTTTTCAGTGTATGGGTTTTTCACCTTCTTTGTTAAATTTATTCCTAGATATTTTATTTTTTTAATTCAATTTATTGGGGGTGGGGTAATGTAAATTTTGGTTGTACAACCTTATAACACAGTATCTGTATATGCTATTGTGTGCTCACCACCCAAAGCCTAGTCACCGTCCATCACCATGTATTTGACTGCCTTTATGTTCTTTGTCCATCTCTCCTTCCCCTCTGGTAACCACCATTATTATATCATCTGTATCTATGAGTTTGTTTGTCCGTTTGTTGTTTTTTTGTTTTACAACCCACATATAAATGAAATCATATGGTTCTTGTCTTTTTCATCTGACTTATTTCACTTAGCATGATACTCTAAAGATCCATTCATATTACAAATGGCAATATTTCATCTTTGTTTTTTATTTCTGAGTAGTATTCCACTGTATATGTGTACCACATCTTCTTTATCCAATCATCTGTCAAAGGACGCTTAGGTTGTTTTATTCTTTTTGATTAAATTGCAAATGGGACTGTTTTCTTAATTTCTCTTTTTGATGGTTTGTTGTTAATATATAGAAATGCAGCTAATTTTTGTTATTGATTTTGTATCCTGCAACTTTACTGAATTCATTTATTATTTCTAATACCTTTTGGTGGTCTTTAAGATTTTCCATGTGTAATATCATATACTCTGGAAATAGAGACAGTTTTACTTCTTTCTTTCCAATTCGGATGCCTTTTATTTCTTTTTCTTTGTTAATTGCTCTGGCTAGGACTTTTATCACTATGTTGAATAAAAATAGTGAGAATGGGCATCCTTATCTTATTCATCATCTTAGAGGAAAAGCTTTTAGTTTTTCACTTATTGATTTGATGTTAGCTGTGGGCTTTTCATATATGTCCTTTATTACACTGAGGTATGTTCCCTCTATACCCACTTTATAGAGAGGGTTTTTTAAAAATCATAAATGGATGTTAATTTTTGTCAATGCTTTTTATGCATCTACTGAGATAATATAATATTTATTCTTTGTTTAGGCAATGTGGTATATCACATTGATTGATTTGTGGATATTGAAATATCACTGGAATGAATCTCACTTGATAATGGTGTATGATCCTTTTAATGTATTGTTGAATTCAGTTTGTTAATATTTTGTTAAGAATTTTTGCATCCAAGTCCACCAGGGATATTGGCCTGTAATTTTCTCTTCTTGCAATATTCTTATCTGATTTGGATAACAGGGTAATGCTGGCCTTGTAAAATGAGTTTGGAAGTGTTCACTCTTCTATTTTTTTTGGAAGTGTTTGAGAAAGATTGGTATTAATTCTTTAAATTTGGGTAGAACTCACCAGTGAAGGCATCTAGTTCAGGACTTTTGTTTTTTGGGAGGTTTTTGGTTACTGATTCAATCTGCTTATGAGTAGTTGGTCTATTCAGATTTTCTGTTTTTTCATGGCTCAGTCTTGGTAGGTTGTAGGTTTCTAGGAATTTATCTGCTTCTTATAGGTAGTCAAATTTGTTGGCATATAATTGCTCAAAGTAATCTCTCATGATCCTTTGTATTTCTGTGATATCAGTTGTTTTGTCCCATCTTTTATTTCTGACTTCATCTACATTTTTTGCACTCAAAGTTAATCATAAATGGCAGCTTTGGGTTTGCGATATACTTGGGTATGGGTCTTCTATCATTGGGCAGGTTCTAGATGGGCTTTTCAGTCTGAAAATCATACTTTTCAGCTGAGTGAAAATTATTTCTCTGGTAATTGTGTTATGTTATTTCTCAGATAATTATCCTCTTTCCATTTATTTCAGTTCTCTTCTTGGCACGGCTCTCCTGGGTCTCTTGGATTGATTGCTGTGTAGATTGTTTCTGTACCTAGGGCTTCTCACTGTTTACCAAAGTTCAATGATCCTTTTATCCTTCCTTTCACTGGGAACATGGCTGAGCTACATTTCCCACCCTCCCTTGCAGTTAAGCATGGTCGCTGACAAAATTTTCAGCATCAAAATGTGATGGAATTGACGTTTAGGACTTCTAGTCTTAGGCTAAGAAGATGGGCAAGGGGTGTTTCCACAATGCTCCCTTTTTCTTCCTCCTAGTTAGAACTCAAGAGAGCAGATTTATCCATGCCCTAGTGAGTGAGAGAACAATGACAAGGAAGGGACCTGGGTGCCTGAATGATGTGAGATGGACATGTTCCGTTAAAGAAAAACAAGCTACTTTGTTCTTTAGACCACCACATTATTGGGTCTCTGTTACTGCATCATAGATTTACTTGAAATAATGGAGACTATACATTGTCTCTCATATTCTCTGCCCTACCTCCTACTTTTTTGGGGGTTCAATTTTCTGGGGATAGTTCCTTTATTTTATATTCCAACCATTTTATTCATCCAATATTACAATTTTAATCTGTAAGAATTCAGTCTTGTATTCTAAATATTTCTTTTCATAGCATCCTGTTCTTATTTTAAGGAAGCATTTTCTCAAATTTCTCTAAGACCATCAGATTTTTCTCATTCTTTTTCTTTACATAACTTCTTTTTTTCCCACAAGTATTATTTTTCATTTTGTTTACATACTTAGGATGTTGGCTATACATAACTGAAGGCCCAGCCTATACAAAGAACACTGAAGGGCACAGGCGGGATTCAGGGCCTGCCGGTCCAGCTTTCGCAGTGCCTCAAGGATCCCATGCTCTCTGTCTCTCTCCTCTGCTGCCCACAGCGTTGTCATCATCCTAGGCCTGGTTACTCTCAGGGTTGGAGGATATGTCCTTAATCATGTCTGGGGGGAGAGAGAAGCCACTGCTTCTGGTTTTCTTTTGAAAGTACGAAAGAACTTTTTAAAAAGCCTCTCTTTTTTTGCATCTCCATGTCTGGAATTAGGTCACATGCCCTACCCTGACCCAATCATGGGCAAGGGTGGGCAATTGCTTTAGATTAATCAGACTTTCTCCTGGAGCTGAAGGATCAGTGTCCCTGACTTGCATGGAAGGTGGGCCTCTGAACAACAAACTGTTCCGTTCGAAAGGTGGGAGGCAGAATGGGTGATGGAGTTGGTTTATCTCGGTGCTTTTCTTTCGCCTTGTAGGGTTTCTCTGAATGTCTGGTATCTCTCCAAAGTTCATTCATACTTCAGGATGAGCTAACAAAAAGCTAATTGGGGCCCCACAGAGAACCTGGGGAACATGCAACTTTGCCAGCAGCAATTTGGTCAGAATGACAATTTTGTCAAAAATGAGTTTTGCTTCAATGATTTTTTTTGAAGATGGAAATTGGGGATCTTTGTGCAGTGTTACGAACATTTTTGTTGATTTTTTTGGAATTAAACATTTTTTTAACCTCCTATTACTTTGCAGCCAATTATTCTTACTTTTCTTTTTGCAGTAGCAAAATGTTGAAATAACCTAAATGTCCAGAATGCAATGGTTTCCTTCCTTCCTCCCTTTCTCCTTCCCTCCCTCCCTCTCTCCTTCTCTTTCCCTTCTTCCCTCCCTCCCTCTCTCCTTCTTAGGTTAGTTCAGTAAAAAAAAAAAGAACAGTGTATGTAATAAAATTTAATTTAATGAAATACACACACGTGTTAAGACAGACATTGTTACGAATGTTTATCTGCTGGTGGCAGTATGGAGCCTTTTCATTTTACGCTCTCCGGGCTGTTGGAGAGGCAATTGGCTATGGCCCTGAGCATCCCTGCGCACTCCTGCTGGTATACGGAGAGTGCAAAGTCCTGGCCACTCTGTATCCAGGCCACTTCTCAGGTTTTTGTTTACAGTGAATAAGTATAAGGGAAAAGTAAATCCTCCCTTCAGGATAAAGAGCAGGCTTCCTTACCACCTGCTTGAAAAGAGGGAAATTCCTCAGCTGTGGGGCAAGCCCCTTTGTGTCACCCCTGTGGGACTTGGCAAGGGGAGCTGATGAAAACATAATGCTTGGACTGCTTGCTGTTTGGTGACTACTGAATTCCTGTGTCTCTGACCCAGGAGTCTCACGTCTTTGTGTCGATTTCACTGATTAGCTTGTGAGTGTGGTAGGATCCCAGGGCCTGGTGTTGGCCTGTTTCAGTCATCTGTCATGCACAATATGAAAATCAGTTTAGGTTTTTGTAAAAGAAAGGAAAAAAACAAAACCACACACATAGCAAAGTCAAAGCTTTTACATTAGGGGGAAGTCAGAAAACAGCAACCATCCAAAGAAGAAAATAAAGAACTTCCTACTCATACTTATCCTGAGAAACTTGGTTAATATCTCAGTAGATATCTTTCCAGACTTTTTTTCATCTAGATTCCCACATCTTTATTAATCTTCTACAATAATAAATATTGTTGTAGAAGATTAATACACAGTACTTAGAAGATTAATTGTTGTAGAAGATTCGTACGCAGTGCATAAGATATGCAGTGGTTAGTAACGGCTTGATTTAGTGAAGCACCCACAAGTGGGGCCGTTTTGGTGACCCCTCCCCCCTAGCTTCTTGGGATGTTGTCAAGAGCTCACCAGGGATCCATGCAGCTTGCAAAGGTTTTCTTTGCCCCCAGGAGAGTTGGCGGCTTCCCCTTGCCTTGTACTTTCTGGGAGCTCTTAGGCCAGTGCCACCACCTTGGGTTCTGGCCTAATAGCCTGAGGACCAGAAATGCAGAAGAAACCACCCTCCCCTCTCATTTCTTCCTCTGCACCCCTAGTTGTCAAGTGCTCACGTTCCCATCACCCTGGACCTGACCCCCTTCCCTATTCCTCCTTCACCTCTTGCCATCCCATTTCCCAGCTAATACCCAGGGATCCCCATTCCAGATTCTTTGCCTCCACATCAGCTAAGACCCCAGAGCCTCTGGCACCATCTCAGACCCCAGAAAGAGCAAGTGATGCTGCTCTTAACACATGGCAGCTGTGGGAACAGGGCGGGTGGGGCAGGATGCTGGGGTGGGGTGGGTGGAGCCAGGGCCACTTCCTTTCCCCTTGGGGCCCTGCCTGCGCAGTCCTGCCCCAGCTTCAGGAGTTGGAGCAGCTTGGCCCAAGCCCTGTGCCCTTATCAAGTGAGCTGGTAAGGGGGTGTGACGTGGTGGGACAGGGGTCTCAGCAGGCCTGGGAACGTGCCTGTGGCTCATAAAAACTCTGATAGATGGTAGGAAAAGAGGATCAGAAGCCGTGGGGGCTGAGGAGGGTCAGGGAAGGCCAGGAGGGGTGGCCATTGCTGGAGTACGTGCTGCCAAGGCCTGGGGTGGAGAGGGGGGCGCTAAGGGGTAGGGTTGATAGGGAGCTGCCACCATCTGTTCCCTTGTTATTTCTGATAATAGTAAAAAAAAAAAAAAGGGTGGGAAAAGCCGTTAAACCACAGGTTAGGCCTTGCAGTTGGCAGGGAAGTGGGCAGGAGGGAAGGGCCTGGCCAGGCCCTACCACAGCTCCTTATGTGTTCCATTTCTCCAACCTCCTCGCCCTCAGGTCCCAACTCCTGCTCATGCCTGTTGTCATGGAAATGACCCTGCTTCTCCTCTTCTTTGGGGGTTTCTGGGCCCAAGAGGTGAACCCTCAGTCTCTGGAGGTGTCTACACCCATAAACGCTCCTTTTTCTTCGGTCCCACCTACTACCCTTGAGGTCACAAACCTTAACTCAGTGTCCTCCGATTATACAACAACAAGGATCCCTGAGAAAAATGACAGCACCGGGCACCAGATCATCCCACCTTCCTCGACTCCGACTCCTATAGTCAATGAGGTGTCTTCTCCTGAGACTCCCATTTCTGTCAGTGATGGCCTCTCTATAGCTGAGCCAACAATCTCCCATGAAGCTTCCACCGAGAAGTCATCAATGTCGCAGGAAATCTCTAATGTAACCAGTAACCCTACTCCACCAGCAATGAGTACTCTGGGATTTCACATCATGTCTGGCGGAACCATGGCAACTAGCAATCTGGAGACCTCCAGTGGGACCAGTGGACCACCTGTCTCCACAGCAACTAGCTCTGAGGAAAGCTCTACTGGGACCAGTGGACCCCCTGTCACCATGGCTACTAGCTCTCTGAAGACCTCCAATGGGACCAGTGAACCCCTTGTCACCATGGCAACTAGCTCTCAGGAAAGCTCTACTGGGACCAGTGGACCCCTTGTCACCATGGCAACTAGCTCTCAGGAAAGCTCCAAAGGGACCAGTGGACCCCTTGTCACCATGGCAACTAGCTCTCAGGACAGCTCCAATGGGACCAGTGGACTCCCTGTCACAGTGGCAACTAGCTCTCTGGAGACTTCCAAGGGGACCAGTGGCTCCCCCATCTCTGGGGTAAAAATAGCCATCATGACTACCCCAAAGACCTCCACAAACACAGGCAGTGGACTCTCCTCAAATTCAGATCAGAGGACAAAAAACACCCTGCTGGTGGCTGTGCTCATGGCTCTTCTGGTGGGCATTGTCCTCCTGGCACTACTCATGCTGTGGCGCCAGCGGCAGAAGCGGAGGACAGGCGCCCTGACACTAAACGGAGGTGGAAAGCGCAATGGGGTGGTAGACGCCTGGGCTGGGCCCGCCCAAGTGTCTGATGAGGGGGCTGTGATAACTACAGCAGGAGTGTCTGGTGGTGACAAGGACTCTGGGATCCCAGAGGGGGAGGGTCCTGGCCATCGGCCCACACTCACCACTTTCTTTGGTAGACGGAAGTCTCGCCAGGCCTCCGTGGCACTGGAGGAGCTAAAGGCTGTGCCAGCCGCCAGCCTAATGGAGGAGGAAGAGCCACTGGTGGGCAGTGAGAATGGGGATGTGGAGGCCCCTGCTTCTGATGGACTGGAAGCGGGAGATGTGGAGGTCCCTTAGTGCTTGTGAATGCAAGACTGGAGGTGGGAATCATTTCTAGCTTTCGTCACCTTCCCTCCTATCATCACTTCCAACCTCATCATCACCTCGCATTTTCACCCAACGTCCTCACTCTGAATCCTCATCCAGCTTCTTAACCCTGGAACTTGCAGCTTCTGCAACCAACACCCACACCAGCACTGCCACCCAGCCCCCGAACCCAGCCCCAAGGCCAGGGCCTGCAGCCCCTGAAGGCTTGAAGACGGAATGAATAAAACTTCCTCATCAACCCCTACTTCTCTCCATCAGCCCTTTTCTCCACACTTTTTGTCCTTGAAACCAGATGCCGAGTCTCCAGAAGGCCAAATTTCCTTGACCTATGATTGCTCAGAGGATTCTTCCAGAACATCAGAACCTGGGAGGAAGGAAATGACAAGCTAGCAAACTCCCATCTAGGATTACTCTGGAAAGCGCCTTGGCCCCATAGATTAGGACAGTCACTGGGTCATGCCGTGGAACTCCTTTAGCTCTAGGCCCCAGTGCTCTGTGCAGGGCCAGCCTGGAGTGGTGTCACCTAGCTGTGCTCTCAAGTGTGCTTCTGACAGCACATGGACTCTAGGCTGGCTTTTATCCCAAGCCTCCAAACTCTCCCCCAACTATGGACTGAGGCAGCCAAAGCCTTCAGCTATTACTCCTCCAGAGGACAGAGGTGAGGACAGTTTCTGGGCAGGTGTAGTTCTCAGAGCCCCAGGACCCTTGTGGGTGTGTACCCATGGATGTGGTTTGTGTGCAAGAGGCAAGGAGTTGGTGGCTTGTGATGGGTAGAGGTGAGTACAGAGGGCATGAGGGAGGGGGCAGGAAGGGTATCGGAAGCTGAGGACAGGCCACCCTGAAGAACTGCTGGAAACATCTGTGCCCTCATCTCTGTTCAAATGGGGTGGAGGTAGATGTAACTCTGTGGCCCAATAAAAGAAAGCTGGGCTTGATAGAAAGACTGCATTTGTGGCCTGAGTGTGGTTCTTCAGTTTAGCCGCTACATTCCTTCCTCACAGCCTCCCTGGCACAGGAGATAGGGAGATAGGAGACCTGGTAGCCGTGTCTTGGTGAAACTCCGCTGGTACATGTTTAGCATGTTTGTCTGTTTCAAGCTCCTTCCCTTCTCTGGTCTGAGTCAGTGAGCGTGAGCTAAATGAGGACTTAAGCCAGGGTGGCAGAACCAGGGGCTTCCCCTTTTGCTCTGGCACAGACAGGAGGAGACCAGACCCAGGTGGCTGTCTCTGAGGCCAGCCCAGGCCAGAGCACAGGGTGCCACGTGGGGCCAGAAGCAGTTGGTATTTGCCCAGGGCAAAGAGGAAATTTGCAAAGAGGAAGTTGTTGAGCCGCAGGGTGCAGAGGCTGAGAGGAGACAAACTGACCTACAAAGAGAGAGGCAGATGGGAACTGTATGAGTGTGACTGCCATGTGGCATGAACTGGGGGACGGGCAAGAGATGGGGAAAAGGCCCCGGTGAGTCAGGTCATGAGGTAGGAAAGAGACGGGGCGCAAAGTGGACAATGATCCACCTGGCCACCGCAGGCCTGTGTCTGGCCTGTGGGGATGGGCTGAGCCGGGGTGGAAGTCCAGCCTTCACCGTGCAGGCTGGGCACCCACGACGCTGTGCCTGGGCGCCTTTTTCTACTTCTTAGAAGGCATTGTTTGGACTAACTGTAGCCCCAGAACAGCAGAAGTGAGTTCCAAAAGTCCCTTAGGGGTACACCACAGTTGTCTTAGATTTATCAAACCAAGTGCCCCAATTACACGTTTAGATAATATTTTCACTGAACTCAGGGGCCATCAGCTCCGCCCTGCTCGTTTGGTGCAGACAGTCATTTTCTGAACCAATTCTAGTTTCTGCGTCCTGGGTGAATCCTGCAGGAAATGTGGTGGGGGTGGGAAAGGAACCAGATAGGGCTCTTCTCAGCCCAGAAAACATCAAAACATGTGAAAAGTTTTCAAATAAAAGCACAAAAACATTTTTACGAGTGTACCAAAAAAGGTAGTGACACACTTCTCCTGGGGGAAGGTTAGGAGGCGTCCTCAGCGTGTTTCACAGCGCCTTTGTCATACCCGCGGCCATTTTCCTGGGGGCTCTTGTGCCAGCATGTGTTAAGACTTCTGTAAATATTCATTCGAATGAATGAATGAAGATGACTCCTCAGAGATTTTGAAGGCTAGGAAGGATTTCGCCAGGCCAGGAAGGGGTAGGGCACTCTCAGCAGGTGCAAAGGCACCCTGAGGAAGTGTGAGCAGTTCGACATGGATTCTTTTTCTAAGCGTCATGGAACAGATGTCTTTCAATTTTCTAGCAGAGGAAAAAAGCAAAGGGTGTGTAGATACTGTAAGACCAAAAAGGAAAAAAAGGAGAGAAACAATAAGAAAATTTAAAATATAGCAGTAGGAGAGGACCAAATATATCAATTATAAAAATAATTGTAAATGGCTTAGTACACCTATCATAGATGCTAAAAATGTTTTCAAAACCTATGTAATGACTTTGGAAAATGTCTACAATATAATGTTAAGTGGGTATGTACAGTAACTGTGGTTATCTGTAAAATAATAGGTTTGTGGGTGATTTTTATTTTGTTTGTACTTTTCTATATTTTCCAAAATTTATACAATAAATATCAATGCCTTTTACAGTTACAAAAAACATAAACAAATAAGTGTTCACGGGGCAGGATAGGGGTTTGAAGAGCGCTGTGGGGGATGAGGTTGGAAAGGCAGGGTGGGGCTGCGCTAAGCAGAGCTTGAGTTCTCCTGTGGTCTCAGAGCAGTGGCAAAGTTAAACCTTAAGCCAGTTTTACTCCTCTGTTTGGGGCCTCAGCATGTGGTAAATACAGGTATCTCCCGCTTCTGGAAAGTCACTTTCATTTGCCACTTCACTTTTATAAGAGACCTATGCTAGGACCTGTTTTCATTAAATGAAAGAAATGAAAAGAGGAGAAAAAAGTAGTCAGCATTGGGTTTGCAGCCAGGGGTTACAGGGGCAGTGTGCACCCCTGCCCCCCCGCTCCAGCAGCGAGAGAGGCACTGCTTTTACTCTATGTTAGTGTCATTTTAGGTTTTCTGTATGATTTGGCAGGTTATTTTTGGGTTCTGGGAACGCCCCCTAATTTTTCCGGATACATGAATGGTAATTACTTCATCGCATTATCCCATTTTGGCTGAGGGAAGGTTTCCTAGGAGGAGACTCTACTTTGGGATAGCAGGGGAACCTGTGCCATGATTCCGCAAAGCAGTAGCATCACTGCCAGGCCTCGCTCTCCCTCCCTCCGTCCTCGCGCCCCGGTGCCAAGTCCAGCTGACACTTCTTCCACAGCCCCTGGGACCCCTCCCTTCTCTCCAGGCCCCATCATACCCTGCCTGCTCCTGCTGAGACTTCCCTTTTGGTTTCCTGACCCAAATCCCTTCCACCCGCTGCCTGTGGCCGTCCCAGGGACACTTCTAAAAGGCCACTCTGTCCAGAATTTCCCTGCACTCTCTAAGGCTGTCAGGATAGAGCCTGTCTTTCTTAGCACGGGTATAATCCCCTCCCAGACCTGGCCCTGCTTTGGCAGGGTCAGTCCTGAGCCCCAGCGCTGCAGCCCGCCTTCCTCATCAAATTCCTTGAGGCCAGCTCCCCAAACATGCCGTGCGCTTTTCCTGGGAGGAGAGGGTAATTAAAAATGTTGAAAAAATTCTTGTCCAGACAGTTAAATAATATTTTCTCTCTTTTGCAAAAGTTAATTACCACCACATTCTAGTTTCTTAAATAATAGGATTCACACGCACACGATCATATACAGTGTATTATCCTTTGTCTTATACATTAAAAAAGATGTTTCTATTTTTCATCTCCAAAGTGCACATTAAGGTCATGATTACAAATAAAGCTTTGTCATCCAAAATGAAAATTCCAAATGGAAGAGGATCTGGGTGGGGGATGTCTCAAGAAATCTATTAACTCACTTTTGCAGACACGGGGCTTCAATGCGTGGTTTTAAAGACATTTCATTTCTGAAAATGGACATTTACAACCAATTTTCTTCTGACCCTTGGCCCCTGGCAGGCAGAACCTGTGGAGGGTGGGCTACCTGGGGGCTTCCGGCAGAAGTGACCCTCATCAGCGCTGAGCACTCCAGCCCTTTCCAACTCTAAGAGGGAATTGGTTGGGAAGCCTACACAAAGGGTCTTGCCCTGGGGAGGCTGGGGGTAGAGACACTGGACAAAATACACTGTCTCCAAAATACAGTCTACTTGCTACCAACAGTGAGCTGCAAGTGGGTGCCCGTGTGCCTCAGCCCCATAGGGTGCTCAGCACCTGCCTGCCCAGGTTGTGGCATCAGGACAGCCTAGCTAGACCATGGCCCAGATTTCAGGAGGTGTCAGCCATGGAGAAAGCCACACATTCGGTCCTGCATTTGTGTTTACTCAGCCCGAAGCCAGCCCACCCCCAGCTTGCCCCACGGCACACACACTTGACTTTCCGCCAAACTCCTCCTCAGCTGTCTTGAGAGTCAGTTCAAATGTCACTGCTGTTTCTTTTTTTCTCGAAAGATTTTATTTATTTATTTTTAGAGGGGAAGGGAGGGAGAGAGAAGGAGAGAAACATGGATGTTCGAGAGAAACATCAATTGGTTGCCTCTTGCATGCACCCAGCTGGGGACCTCGCCTGTAACCCAGGCATGAGCCCTGACCAGGAGTGAAACCAGTGATCTTTTGCTTTGCAGGATGACACCTAACCCACTGAGCCACACCAGTCAGGGTGTCATATAGTTTGAAAACTAAGTTTTCAAAGCCACCCTTGCTACCTCCCCCCAAAATAGACATAATATTTCTCCTCCACTCTTACAATACCTCGTGTGACAGCACAAACAACGTGGGCTGTAATTATGTGAAAGTGTCCTTCACCTGTCCAAGTCCCCATGACATCTCTGTGGCTTCAGAGACCAGGGCCTGTCACATGATAGCTAACTGATATGTATTTAGTGAATGGAGGGATTGCATGCATTAGTGGATGAACAAACGATGGTTTTTAAGTAAACATGTGGTAAGATCAGATCTTTTTGCTTTTTTTAAAGATTTTATTTATCTATTTTTAGGGAGAGGGGAAGGGAGGGAGAGAGGGAGAGAAACATCGATGTGAGAGAGAAACTTTGATGGGTTGTCTCTTGTACAGGGTCCGACCAGGGACGAAACCTGAAACCCAGGTGCGTGCCCTGACCAGGAATCAAAATGGCAACCTTTCGCTCTGCGGGACGACACCCAACCAAGCCACACCAGTCAGGGTCAGATCTGTCTTTTGAATGAACCTGGCATCCAGGAGGATGGGCTGAAGGCTGTGAGGCCCCAAGATGAGGGCGTTATGGTGGCGTGAGTTAGATATAGTGGGAGTGTGCCTTTAGGTGAAAGAAGTCAGGTCCGAAATATATTTATTCAGAGAATAGAGTTTAGGGCTATTTGGCTGTTCAGATGATGGGGGAAGAATGAGGTTAGACTTCAGGGTTTCTATCTTGGGAGACTGAAGTGCTGATATCATTAGGTAGAAATGCGGAGAGGTGAGGGCATTTTAGCGGAAAACATAATGAGTTCATTTTTAGAAGTGTTAAGAGGAATGTTTAGAGATGGTTAGAAATAAAGATCTGGATCTTGGGAGGGATATCAGAGTGAAAGATATGGGTTTAAGAGTCATCTGATTTTATTTTATTTTTAAAAGATTTTATTTATTTACTTTTAGAGAGAAGGGAAGGGAGAGAGAGAGAGAGAGAGAGAGAGAGAAGCATTGATGTGCAGTGATTGTTGCCTCTCACATGCTCCAACCGGGGCCTGGCCTGCAACCCAGGCATGAAAAATCATCCGATTCTATATATATATAAATAAAATAAATATTTTTTGAGTCATCTTATTTTAGATAGCTATTTAAAGGATGGTGTATGCATAGATAGAGAAATGCATAAACTATAGCATTCACTGTGTAGAATGAGAAAAGGAGAGAGCTATGGAGAGAATCTTAGTGTGTCAGTCAGGGCAGGCTAACTACTGTAGCGAACAACCCCAAAACTCAGGGGTATAACTCAAGAGAAGTTTTTTCCTTGCTTATGTAACAGTTTGATACCGGCATTTGGAGAGTGACCTTCCATGAGGCCATTCAGGGACCCTGGCTCCTTCCACTTTGTGGCTCTGTCATTCCTGGGGAGGAGAGAGGGGTGGGGGACCACGGGAAGACTTTTATGGGCCAGGTCTGGAAGTGGCACATATCACTTTTGCTCACATTCCATGGGGCAGAATTCAGTCACGTGGTGGCCTCATGCAAAAGAGGCTGGGAAATGTAGTTTAGTTGTGTGCCCAGGAGGAAAAGAGAAACTGTCCCATCACACTGAGGCAACACCAAAATTTGAGAAAGGACCTGCAAGAGACAGCACAGAGCCTTTAAGAGAGAAACGTGGAGAAAATAACACCTGAGGAACAAAGGGAGAAACTAGTTTTCAGAAGTGCTGTAAGGGGCAGTCCCGGACAAGAGTGAGGCAAGCAAGGCGCTTGGGTGCAAAATAGAACCTAAGAGTGAGGCCTGCTTCAGCTTTGCACCCTAGGACCTTCACTTGTCTTAGCCGAGCCCCAGTCCCGGCAGGGTCCTGTGCTGCGGAGAAAGAGATGGGAGAAGGCCGGGAAGGTGCTTGTGGATTAACAATCGGGGTCCCAGTGACCTTTGCCAGCAGTTTCCCGTGAAGAAATAGAGGCCCAGCCATTCTTGGACAGAACTTGCCTGACGTTCCGGTACAGGTTACTGGCAATTTCCCAGTTTTCCTGGTCAGGAGTCTAGCTCTGATCTGTCCATGTCCTTAAAGTACTTCGGGAAGAGGGAAGAAAAAGGAAATGGACATTTGTTGAGTTTTTCACTCTGTGTTGCTGGCAGAGGTTTCTCACTTGATTCTCAGTTGAACCCATGAGGTAGGTATTATCCCATTTTATGGAAGAGTAAACTGAGGCATAGAAAAAGGTTTAAAGGTACTGAGATCAAAAAGGATGGAAGTAGGATTTGAACCCAAGTCTAAGGCCCAATTTTCCTAGTGCACCATCAAAAAAGCTTTCTAGCCCTCACAAGGGAGCACATTCTTGCATTCACAGCCTCACATTCTGGGGAGAGCAGGGGGTGTGGTGAGAACAGGGCCCTTGGCTCAGAGAGAAGAGGATTTCTGAATTACACAACTGAGAACTCCTCTTCTGAGTATGGAAAACAGATAAGGTACTTAACAACCCCAGGGGTCCTGAAAGCGGACAAGCGGGGGTTGAGGGGCGCGGGGGCGGGGGGCAGAGAACCTGGGAAGGGCTGAGAGGGGCTGGCTGGACCAACCCTTCCCCCGCCTCCTCTGGCAGCCCCACCCCCAGCCTCAGGCCTCTCTGAACATTGGATCTGAGCAGCAGACGCCGGTGTCAGTGGGGCCGTTCCAAGCCGTCATGGAGCCTGAAGGTAAAGCAGCGCCCCAGACCTCTCTCCCCTTCGCCACCATCTCCCCCACCCTCCTGCCCCTCTCCCCATCCCAACTTATCTCCGTACCTTATTTTCCCACCTCCACCGGAAGACCAGGTTTCTTCGTTTCCGTCCAGGGCCTTAACCTCCCCATCTCCCTCAAACCTCTCTGAACCCCAAGCATTCCTTTCTGCCTGCCAAAGGCCTCCTGTCACTCTTTTTTTCTCCTCCGTGTTGGGTCTCAAGAAGCTCTAGGAAAGAAAAGGACTTGAGCCCCAGGGAAGGTCTGGGGTGGCCTGGAGAAGGGCACATCTCCTGGGAGCTCTAGAGGGGGTGGGGGTGGGGGGATGGGTAGTGGGAGGCCGGATGGTGAGCAGCTCTGGACTTTGCTCCTGGACAGCAGCTCGGGAGAAGTGGAGACAAAGTCCTGTCCAGTCTGCCGTGGGTGGGGGAGGGGGCTTGAGTCCACTGAGTCTCTGCAGGGGCCGGGGTGGGGGAGGGGGGTGCAGGGAGGTGATGCCCCTAAGGAGGCTATATGCAGAATGATGGGGGCCAGGCTCTCTGTGGTCAAAAGGCCCCTGTTTGAATCCGGGTCCCAGCAGGAACAGTGCTTTGGGCAAGTCACTTGACTTCCCAGAGCCCTTTTTTCCTTGCATCTGTAAAATGACAATAACAGTTCCCTGCTCACCGGTTTGTTGGGAGGGCAAATGACAGGAAGCATGAAAGGGGCCCCACCTGTGAGCTCTCTGAATTTTCACTGGGCTTCTCCCCCAGCTCGGACCTGGTTTGGGGCTCCTGCTGGCTCTGCACATCCAGATCCTTTGGCTTGACTGTGGGAGCAGCTCTCGGGAGCGCACACAAGCTCTTGGTTTAGAAACGACCTCAGAGCCAGGGACTGGGTTCAAGTCCCATTCCTGTGTGACCACGGACAAGATGCGTAGCCTTGCTGTGCCTCTGCTCCCTCATCGATAAAGTGAAAACAGTGCCTCCCCTTGGCTTGTGGTGAGGGTTAAATGTGGAGGGCCGGCTCGGTGGTACCTGGGCTTGTGATGTTGATCCCTGACATCTGTCTCTGCAGCTCGAGCCCTCCCCAGGCTCTGCTGCTTTTTTGGAAGCCACATATGTCCATCTCCACCTGGGCAGCTCCCTGCCCTGTGAGACTCCGTCTCTCCCTCCACCAGCTCCGTTTCTGTTCATGCCTCGCCATCTTCCTACTCAGACTGGAAACGTCAGGGTCAGTGTTACTGCTCACTGCCCCTCGCACCCCAATAAGCTAGACAGGTGCCATGTCCTGTGGATTTACCTCCATGGCATCGCCTGAGCCTTTTCTCATTCCATTCCTACCTGCCTCTGGGGATTGGCCTGGTGAGGCTTCCTTTGCAGTGCTGCCTTCCCTCACGTGACCACACCTGGTGTTTCACTCAGAAGGGCTGGCGCTGGGATCGCTGAGCCGTGGGAATTAAGCCAGGAAGGAGTAGACAAATCAAGGGGGTGAGGCAAAGGCTGGGGAACTGGGGGGAAGAAGGGGTGACTACAGAGTTGGGACAGATGCAGATGGCAGGCTGGTGGGGGAAGGTGGAGAAGTCAGACTTGGCCAAAGGTGGAGAGGTGCAAGTGGGGCGGGGCCAGACCCAAAGTCTGTGGGTGTGGGGTGCGGGGGGCGGGGGGCGGCGGGAACAAGTCGTAGTGTGTGCTTTTTCCTACAGCCTCAGGAGGGATGCCCTCCCGATTACACTTCACCCTGGCTCCCTGCTTCTTGCTCAGCTGTTGCAACAGCCTCCCAATTTACATCTTTCAGGAACCCTAGCCACAGTTTAAATATTTAAACTTCAAAGAGCATTTCTGATGACGCGACTTCTGATCAAAAGTTTCAATGATTTCCCTCTTCCTACCGAACAAAATCCTAACTCTTTCCTATCATTCAAGGCCTACTCAGTCTGGCCCCAGCCTACCACTCGGCCCTCTCTTTCGCTACTCTCTGATTGCTCTGAAATTCTGTAGGTTGTTTAACTACTTGTATTATGGGCAATCACGTTTAGCCCTGTTTGTAGGTCATTTCTCTAGAGAGAAGAGGGGAAAGAAAAGGCCATCAAGCTGAAAGCTGCAGTGCAAACCAGCCTCTGTCTCCATCTGGTGTTTGCCAAATGGATCAACAAATAAATAGATGGCAGAACAAAGCTGCCAGAGTTAGACACCTGGGTTTCAAAAAAATGTGGTCAGGCACTGCACGTGAATCACCTTATTCCCTCCTCATTGCAGCCCCGTGGCTTTTTAAATTTATTTTTAGAGAGCGGGGAAGGGAGGGAGAAAAAGAGGGAGAGAAATATCAATAGGTGAGAGAAATGGATCAATTGCCTCTCGCATGTCCCCTAAACGGGGACCTGGCCCTGGCCTGCAACCCAAGAATGTACTGTGACTGGGATTTTAACCTGTGGCCTTTTGGTTTGCAGAATGACACCCAATCCACTGAGCAACACCTGTCAGGACTAAAGATCACCCCTGGGTTGATTCCCAGTCAGGGTACAGTTCTCAGTCGTGGCAGGGGGGTGGGTTGCAGGCTCACTCCCCGGGGCATGTAGGGGGTGCAGCCAAATCAGCGTTGCATCTCTTACCTCACTTTTCTCTCCCTCTCTTTCCGCCTCCTTTCCCCTCAGGGCAGCATTCAGGTGTTCAGTTGTCTCACAAATGTTCTAATTTGTTTTCAATATGTATGTTTGAATTAGGATCCAAATAAGATCCATACACTGTGATTGGGGTTAGTATGTATGTTGAGATTATTTAATCTTCGGTTCCCTTGCAGTGCATTTGCTGATGAAATTGGTTATCCTCTGGTAGAGTGTCGTCTGGTCTGAATTTCGCTGGTTGTATCCCTGTGGGACCCTTTAATATGTCCCCCTGCCCTCTGGTTTTATTGTAAATTGGTGGTGGTGTGTTCTTCCGTCAGGAGCATGTTTCTTCTTGAGGTTGGCTTTTGATGCTCAGTACCTGGAGGCACTGGTTTACTGGGATTGCAAAATGGTTCCTGCCTTTTGGTAGAGCACTGGTTCTTATTTGTTCATTTAAGCGGACAATCCAAATATTTTCAGTAAATTTACCAAGTTGTGCAGCCAACACCATCGAGCATTTCCATCACCCCTACAAGACCTCATGTCATTCACCCCAGCCCCAGACAGCCACTATATTGACATCTGTCTTTCTCAATTTGCCTTTTCTGGACATTTCATATACATGGAGGCATGCAGCCTGTGATCTTGTGTGAGTATCCTCAAGTGCATCTGAGTCAGAGTGGGAGCTCTTCTAAAACCTGGATGCCTGGGAACCACCCCACCCACCCACCCTCCCACAGATTGATGCAGGCGATCTGGAATGGGCCAACAGTCTGAAGAGCTCCCCGGGCGACTCCAGTGTGCTTTCCAGGTGAAGGGCTCTGTTTTCTCAACCTTTGCTAAAGAGCAGTTCACACCTACTTCTGTACTTCCCCAGTTCCTGCGTATGTCATGACCATGACAATGTGGTTTCTGCCCCAACCACACGGAACCAAAACTGCCCTGGCAAAGGCCTCCTAATTGCTAAGCCCAATACCCATTTCAGCCTTTTTTCTTCTTGCTTCTGCTCACACCCTACTTCTTGAAATCTAAACACCCACTCTCTCCTGCGGCTCCTTCTCTTTTTGACAGCCATGCCTCCGTGTGTCCTTTAAATATTGGTGTGTCCCAGAGCCCTCCTCTCCTTCCCTAACCAGGTGATGTTACCCATCCCCCCCCCCCCCCGCCCCTGCTATGCTCAGTCACCACCCAGCCAGAGCACAGCTGGCTCTGAGTGAGGAATGGAAGCCACTTGGAATAGCTGTGGGAGAGAATATGGGGAAGGAAGGCCAGGTTCCATTACAGGTCTGTGGCTGAGGGTAGGGGATGAGGGATGGATGGGTATGTGGCTTTGGGGAAGAAGGGCTGGACAAGAAGGCTGGCTTCCGAGAGTAGAGCAAGTCAGAGTGTATGGCGTTAACTTTAACTTGGAGCAAAAGTGGGGGAAACAAATCCCAACCCAACCGAACCCAACCTAACTTCTTCGCACGTTACTGAATTACCTTCCGTTCACCTGGGTTTCTATGAGGCTGCAGGTCTTCTCTTGACCGACAGATGGCGATGATGCACCCTGCCTGAGCATGGCCTCTGCCGTCACCTCATTCATCCAGCAGGCGTGAGGGGCACATTTATTCGTGAGTGGGAAGGACCTTAGAGACTGCTATGTCCATAACTATTATTTTACAGGTGAAGGACTCATCCGCACTCATGAAGCTCCTAGAGCTATGTCCCACAGAGAGGGGATCCCCAACCCCAATTTCCCTGTTTTTATAGCCTCTTTGTACAGCTCCAGTCTATAGAAAGATACGTTTGTTGAAACATCAGGCGTGGGAGGGGTCTCCAAGCTAGAGGGCAAAGTCAGAGGGACAGCCCGTCCTGACCACAATGCCTGGCTGGTCTGACTCTGCTGCCAACTTGCTGTATGATCTCAGCCTACTTGCCTCTCCTCTCCGTTTCTGTCTCCACCTAGAAAAACTTCCAGCTTTAAAACACTGGGTGCTATGGGAAGCCTGGGATGAAAAAGCACACAGCTCATATTCTACTGGGGGCTTCAGCTCCTAAATAACTAATCCTTCTGTGCAGACAGACTGGAAAGGCTGCAGCGTGACTTTGAGGTGCTGTTCACTTCTCTCCTAGCTGTTGATCCGGCGCTGTCTGCCAGACAAAACGTAGGACAGTTAAAATTTGCATTTCAGATAACCAACAGATAATTTTTAAGTATATGCTATGTATGTTCTAAATATTGCTTAGGATATATTTATACCGTAAAAAAAACTTTGATGTTTATCAGAAATTTAAATTTAACTAGGTGCTCCGTATTTTTATTTGCTTAATCTGGCAACTCTGACCAGGCCACAGGGCCCACCCAGCACCCCAGCCCTCACCCAGGATCCCCAGATCTCCCCCTGATTGGCTAGTGCCCAATTCTGCTGGTTGTTAAATGGAATTGACCCTCGAACAAACCAACAGAACAAACACGGGTTTGTACTGTGCGGGCCTACTTAGATGTGGATTTTTTTTTCAATAAATACCTGTACTGTTTTCAATCCATGGTTGGGAGTCCATGGATATGAAGGGCCAACTGTGTGCCTTGATCTACGCCATTTTATATAGGAGACTTGAGTATCTGTGAATTTCGGTACTGGTGGCAGTGGTCAGGTCCTGAAAGCAATCCCCACTGATACCAAGGGACAACTGAGGTTCTGAGCGAGTCCAAGTTACATGGGAATTTTCAATTGCACGGTGGTGTCGCCATCCCTAACCCCCGTGTTGTTCAAGAGTCAGCTGTATTTTGACTATCACCTCTGACTGTGAGAGAGGCAGCCACATTATAATTCCGTTTTCTCTCCATCCCTCACAGGCCTGGCGCTCCTGCTGCCCCCCGCTACTCTGGCTGCCCTGGCAGATGGCTGGCTCCGAGAGGACTGTCCAGGCTTCAACTACACAGCCTTGGTCACAGGGCCAACCCCCTCACAGGCGGCACTGTGGGCCAAATCCCCAGGGGTGCTGGCTGGGAGGCCTTTCTTTGATGCCATCTTTGCCCAAGTCAACTGTCAGGTCTCCTGGTTCCTCCCGGAGGGATCAAAGCTGGTGCCCGTGGCCAAGGTCGCCGAGGTCCGGGGCCCTGCCCATTGCCTGCTGCTGGGGGAGCGGGTGGCCCTTAACACGCTGGCCCGGTGCAGTGGAGTTGCCAGCTGTGCTGCCGCAGCTGTAGAGTCTGCCAGGGGGACTGGCTGGGCTGGGCGTGTCGCAGGCACCAGGAAGACCACGCCAGGCTTCCGGCTGGTAGAAAAGTATGGGCTCCTAGTAGGTGGAGCTGCCTCTCACCGCTATGACCTGGGCGGGCTGGTGATGGTGAAAGACAACCATGTGGTGGCAGCTGGTGGTGTGAAAAAGGTGCATGTCTGGCCCCTGCCCTGGCCCTGCTCCAACCGCCCATCACAGCCCTTCCCCTCCGCCAGAGACCCTGGTGCAGGGCGATGGCCTGGGGGCTGGGGGATGAGACTGCAGAATCCCTCAGTCGCGCCATCTGGATAATGACGGGTCGGACTTGCTTCTTTACAAGTGTTCTTCTGCTGCTTGGTGTGACGTTCAAGAGCAAAGGACAAGTTGTGGGGAGCCCAGTGTTGATGGCTCTCCAACTGTGGGCAGGCTGCTCCCGAGTCCCTGGGCCTCTTTCCCATTTGTGAAATTATTCTTGGAGACCCCTTCCATTTTTAATGTTCCGAGTCAAATTCAACTCAGGTGCAAATGCTAAATATTGCTGGTATTTGACCATTTGAAAAGATATTTTAAAAATATTTCTTAAATTTACTGAGAAAGAGAGAGAGAGAGACACCATTTTGTTGTTGCACATCTGCATTCATTGGCTGATTCCTGCATGTGCCCTGCCTGCGGGTCGCCCCCGCGGTCTGGGAGAACAGGGATGCTCGGACCCCCTGAGCGGCCCGGCCGGGGCTTCTTACCCATTTTTTGATCCACAAGTGGTAATTTCATGTGGTTTCACCTAGTATGAAAGAAACCATCCCAATGCCCAGTTTCCTCGTTAACCCCAAACTCGTTATCTATCCGGGACCTTCTGAATGCCAGTGCCAGCTCCCTGTGCTCCTAACGCCGCCACCTGTTCTCACTCTCACCCGCTTGTCAGGCGGTCCAGAGGGCCCGACAGGTGGCCAACTTCACCCTGAAGGTGGAGGTGGAGTGCAGCAGCCTACAGGAGGCCGTGGAGGCAGCGGAGGCTGGAGCAGACCTTGTCTTGCTGGACAACTTCAGGCCGGAGGTGAGGCCGGGAGTACCTCCTGGGAAGGGGCCGTGTCAGGGGATGTCACTCGCCCTTGGCTTGTGTCCTGCAGGAGCTGCACCCCACGGCTGAAGCGCTGAAGGCCCGGTTCCCGAGCGTGGGAGTGGAGGCCAGCGGGGGCATCACGCTGGGCAACCTCGCTCAGTTCTGTGGGCCGCACGTCGATGTCATCTCTTTGGGGATGCTGACCCAGGCAGCCCCGGCCCTCGACTTCTCCCTCAAGCTGTTTGCTGATGGGGCCACTCCAGTGCCCCGTGCCCTCCAGTCCTAAAGCCGAAGAGGATGGCACTGGCAATGGGCCAACATGGTTTCTCGGGACCCTCGAGGTTGCATATCTTTAAGACCAGTGGCCAAAAGAACATTCTCAGCATGAGCCTGAGCTAAGCTCTGGCTCTCCCACTTACTGCCGTGCGACCCCAAAGGGCTGACTTTACCTCAGCCCACCTAATCTGTTTCCTAATCTGTAAAATGGCTCTAATAAATGATCAACCTTTGGGATTTCTTTGAGTGGTAATTAACACATAGTAAGTGCTCAGTAAGCCTTAGAACTTCCAAGAGTTCATTTCTTCTAATGTGCCCTTCTCTTTCACGCACTGCCTTCTCTGAAGTCGAGGTGTGCCTTTAGTCAATGGTGTTAGTGGCCGCTGCCCACCAGGCACCAACCATCATGCAGCTGTCGTAGCCTGTACACTCGGGTTATAGATAGAACATGATCGCCGCTGTTGAAATAAGTCCCAAAGAGCTCTTTCTACAAGTATAAAATAGAAATAGTGAGTGATAAGAAAGCATTGATCATAGTTAAATTGACCACTTCCTTTTGGAGTGGTAGACTGTGTTTTCCAATTAATGGCATCTTATATTTGAGGACATGTGGCATCAGGTGTGATATTCAGCTGGAACGTTCCACTTGGTTGATGTCCTAGGGATACTGGTTATTAAGTCTTTGCCTCTCACCTCTGGCTACTGTTATCACCTCTTTGGTGGAGGTGAGAACATATCTATTCCTCATTTCTTGAGTCCCCAACAGACTTCACCATGCACCTTCCCCAAAATGAAAGACCTCTGGTTGGTGTTAAACACCTTTTAGGGTCTGATTCTACGGGACTGTGGGTTGGGAGAGGATGGTTGGTAGAGAGCAGCTGGGGCCACAGCGAAGGTCTGCTGAGGGAGTGAAGGGTGGGGCTGGTGGGGGTACATGTTCAGAGATCAAATTTCCTTGCATGTGAAGTCAGGACCCAGGGATCTAAGCAGGCAACCTGAGTCTTGTTCCCCAAACCCACACACCTGAGGTCTCTCTCACTTGCGCGGCCGTTCCTACTCTTCCCTGAGGCCCAGAGCTGATCTCTCTCTAACCCTTCTCGGGTGGCTCTGCGAGGCACCAGGCCATGAGGGCTCCCTGGGATGAGGTGGTCCCCGAAATGACTCCTCTCAGAAAGGTTCCAGGCTGCGGCTGCCTCTCTCCTCCCAGGACCCACTCTTCTCTCTGCCCTTTGCCAGGCGAAAAAACCAGCACTCATGCCAGAGGCTGCCTCTCTAGGAAGAACCTAGAATCCCACTCCACCTTTAGGGACATATCCCTCCCTTAGCCCTTTCTCCCACCCTGGAGACCAGTGAGGGGCCTGGGAAGGGGGCAGATCAAGAAAACAATGAGCTCATCTCAGATGTGGAAGCCCCAGACACCTCCCACACCTGCCGTGAGCAGGTTCTGAGCACACAGCACAGCTTCACCTAGCACAGGTGCTGGCTGAGGGGGACACTGCCTTTGGTAATATCTTGAACTAAAGTGGCCATTTTTACAGGGCATAGCTCAGAGGTGCCACCTGGGGCTGTTCCTGTCGTCTAATACACACCTTCACTTCTGAATCCTGTCCTTTCTCCAGGGAAAACATGAACAGCTCAGCTAAGCAGGCTTCCCCGCTCCAGGGAACTTGGATCTCTGAGCCCTAGTTCCTCAGACCTGAAGAGGGAGAACTGAACCCCCAAAGAACCAGGGGTACTTCTGGGTGTCAGAACAGGGAAATTGGGACCCATGGATGAGGTCGGAACTGGGAGGCAAAACATGCGGGATCCAGGGGGAAATCAGAGCCTGACAGAAGCAGAAGGCAGAGGTGGACTAGGAGTCTCAAACTCCAATGCCTCCAGGACCCAGGCAGATGAAACAGATGGAGGGAGCTGGAATAAGACAAAGGGGAGTGAAAGATGAAATCTACCGGGCTGAGTGTCAGGCTCATCCCTGAGCCCAGAAATGGGTCAGCCCTAAGTCACCTCCAGAGGAAAAGAAACTGGGTTCTGGGCAGGCAAAAGCAGCACCGAGGAGATGGTACTGGCAATGCCTCAAAGTTAGGAGTGGCTTGGATTGTTTGGTCTAAAATTTAAAGCTGGGATCAGGAGAGGTGAGCTGACTATGAGTTGGGCTGGGTCCAGACCACAGAATGGTAGGTCAGAAGACTTGGACTCTGTCCCGAGAGCAATCAGCTTGATGCTGGAAAGTGAAATAAGCATATCTGCAGTTAGAGTGCATCTATTGCAGGAAGATGCACTTGAGGGGCTCGTGTGGCTACAGAGAGACCAGAAGGAGGAGGCTGACGCAGCTACTCAGAGGGCTTGAACGTGGGTCGTGGCAGTGGGGCTGGAGGGGGAATACAGGCAGAGGCAACAGCGTCTGCACTGGCTCAGAGGGCACATAGAGGCTGATGGGTTTGGAGCAGCAGGAAGAGCTGGGCATGACTCGGGGTGGGGCGGCAGGGTGGATTGCAAAGAGGAATCTCACCCTCGCCTAGTATTGCCCTTTCTATTTGGCTACACTACCTCCTTATCTGGCCAGCCTAGGACTAGACTTGGATGTTTCCTCAGGCTGCCATCCACCCAGCACAAAGCCCATGCCCGTTATGGCAAATGCCCATGAAGCCAGGTGCTGCTGTTAGCATAGGGTGCTGCCTCAGCACTGGCTGGTGAGTGAGAAGGGAACACACATTGACTGAGCGCCCTTGCTCAGCAAGTGTAGGTCTCTCTCCCTCAGTGAATGCTCGTCGGGGGTGGGTGTTAGCGCCTCCATGTTACTCATTAGGAAACTGAGGCTTTATGAAGTTAAGAGACCTGTTTAGGGGCAGACATCAAATGGTGGGACAGGGTTTGAACACCTACTATGTGCCAGGCAATATTCTAGACACCAGATATACAGCAATGAGTAAACAGACAAAAACCCCTGTCCTCATGGATTTCATAGTCTAGTGTGGGGGTGGGGTGGGGGAAGGTGGGAAGAATAGACAATGAAAAAATACCTGAGACTACCAAACATCGAATCCCCTCATGGCCACCAGAGGGCAGTGTAATTCCACCACCTTCCAGTTTCTGACACCACCTCCCTTTCCAGGTTCCAGAGGTAGCAGACAAGGAGCTATCAATATTAAGGGCAGCATCTGTTCAGGAATGAAAGATGAGGAGGGGTGTGCAGCAGTGCCTTCTTCACTTACTTTTCCAGCTTAATCTCTTTATCATATCTCCATCCAATTGCCCAAGGTATCGCAGTGATTTTTGAAGGCCCTGTGTACTCCAGAGATCACCAAGACTCGCGTTTGCCCACCAACCTTCCATCTCTCTCTTTTTACCCACCTTCTCAGTCCTCTTCTGTCTGCCCTCTTGGCCACCCTCCTAGCTACCCACTCAGCTTCCATCTATTCTAATTCTCACCTACCCACCCCATCCACCCACCCTCCCTTGGCCTACCCACCCCTCTTGCCACACCTGCTCCCGCGCACCCACCAACAGGGGCACTTAGTCTAGAGGGACTGGAAAGGCAACAGATCAAACCAGGCCGCCAGTCAGCGAACTGAATGGGCAAGAGTCTTATAGTGTTAAGGCCAGTGGAAGTTGAAAGCATTTAAAAATGGCAAGACATTATTGGCCAACTAAACTGCATCTGAAAGCAATTCAACTTTGGATCTGTAGAAAATCCCACTGTGATATTATGTGGTATAGACACATGTATAAACTTATCAATAGCTCTTCAAGACAATATGGTAGGTAGAATTCCATAAATGGCTAGCACCTATGTGCTTTGTTCCAATCACTTCCTCAGTCATAGATCATTTTGGCAGTTACTCAGTAACGTTTAAGACCTGCATTCTGGAACTCTAAGTATCTCAGCATATAAGACCGAACTACAAAGTACTGAAGAAAAGCTGACTATGGGGCTGTGAATAACATCTCTATCAATCACTGTACACATGAGATTTACCCAAGATAATGTGGTTTTCTTTATTTCAGGTATGCAGTGCTCTTTAGATCACTAGAATCTAGCACAGCACACCCAGAAAATGATCCGGGGCCAAGAGACCCTTTTATATATCTCTAGTTTGGTGGGCCCCTGGGTAACCTCTTTTGTCCTCTTGAGCTACAACATTCAGAAGACTTAGAACCAGCCAAGAGCTATCCACAGGTCACTTGCTTCTGACATCTTGGTGCTTTTTAACCAAAGGAAAGTATCTTTGTTGTTTCATTTGCTTTGTATGTATAACACAAATTCAAGCCTAAACTCTGCCTTGAAGTTTAAGTATCTCCATACATTCAAACACGTTAGATTTTCTAATGGCTTAAATTCCTTAGAGACCCCTCTGTGTAGCCTTCTGACCTGCCTGTGTCTGGAGTGGTTATTCCCAGGCCTGCTGCAGAGCTGTCTCCTTGGGAACCCCTTCACCATCTGCTGGGAGGGACTCCCCTCACATCTTTCTTGAATCGGATCCTGAGTCTCCTGGATCCTGTGCCTTCCTCTTTCTTGCTTTATCCCTTGCTTCGGTGGGGGCATTCTCTAGTACCTTGATAAGTAGATACATTTCTGAGACTTTGCTAGGTCTCAAAATGTCTTTATTTTACTTCCACACTTTATAGGTTGGATAGAGAATTCAAGATTGGAAATCATTTGTTCTCATATGTTGCACGCACAGCTGTCTCTCCTGGCTCTCGCAGCACCGAGAAGTCCAGGTCCATTCTGGGTCATGACTGTCAGAAAGCATTTCGTCTCTCTGGAAGCAGGTGGGGATCTTCCCTGGTCCCAGTGATCTAAAATTCTTGGTCTGGGTCTCTTCATTCACTGCATTGGGCCCCATCAATCTGGAAAGTCATTTCCTAAGTGTTTATTTTCTCTTTTATTGTAGAAATGTGTATTCAAAGAACTATCACCTCGGTCGAGGAATCAAAGATTGCCAGCATCCTAGAGCCGACCGCACCTAAGGCTGGTCCCTGCACGGAGGTATAATGACCATTTTGACTGCAGTGATCACCATCTTCTTGACTTTTGTTATAGGTTCTCTTGCGTGTATAAATCTCTAAGCAATCTAGTGTAGTTCTGCCTGTTTAGGACTTTATAAACATGCACTACAGGTAACATAACATTTACCATCTTCTCCATTTCTAAGTGTACAATTCAGGAGCGTTAAGTCCATTCACATGCTGCGTAACCGCCTCCAGAGCTCCTTTCATCTTCCCAAACTGAA